GCGGGAGCGTTAGGGGTTGACCCATACGTCGCAGGGCGACAATCTGAAGGGAGTCGACAGCGTGCTTTGAGTTTGGCAAACTCAAATCGAAGGTGTCGCTCCACACGCAAGTCCACTTCCTTGTGGCTCAACTGTAAGGCAAACAGTGAGGAAAGTTTGCGGTGCCGTTGCACACATCGCTCAAAGAGTGCTTCGTCATCTGTAGTGCTTTCGCCAGAGGCGAGCACTACAGGTATCGCCCGCATTGCTGGTACACAAGAGCCACCTCGTTGAGCACGCAAACGAGTGCGATGAGCTTCCAACGGAAAATCTTGCAGAACCAAGAAACGAGCTCGAAGAGCTTTCCGTTCTACAATCTCAACTTCTATAATGACCGGGAATCCGATGATGTGGAGGCGTAACAATCGAGTTATCACGTCCTTCGCTTCCACAGCAAGATCCGCCGGGCGGAAACCATGTTCCACACAAGGGTAAATGACCGACCGTTGATGGAAGCGCATCAGAGCCGCCTTACGGGCAGCTTACAGCTGCCGCTTCTGTGCCTCATCAAGGTCATTAGTGATTACACCACATTCCTCAGGTGATGACAGGTCAGGAGACGGTCATGGGGTCCGCAAGGCGCGAGCTGGTCTCGTCTCACGCCGTTGGTGCGGCTCGCCTTCCTCGTCATTTCATCCGGGAAAAGTAGTGTCAGCCTCGTAGTCGACCACCTCCACATCCCTGATTGGAGCTCCGCTGATCGTCCTGCTGATGTAGCATATCGCTGTGCAGACGCTTTTGGCGATATAAAGCATGTCGTGCGCCGGCTTCCTTGCCTTCAGGACTACCGCTCTATCGGAGCGACTTCTAGCCGTGGAACAGGCGAATGCGTCGCTGCATGAGACGGTGGAGCGCTTGGCACCATTAGAAATGGAGGTTGTTGCACTCCGTGCTTAAAATCAGTTGCTAGTTCAGCTTCTGGGTGGCCGAGGCCCCGTGGGATCCGCTCCGGTGCTAACGCTTATGCGTTCACTTGCGCAGGATCCCGGTATGACTTGAGAAAGGCTACGTAAAACACCGGGTGGTTGAGCATCCGTTTTGGAAGGTTTAGTGTGTACGCCAGCCCCTGTATGGCCATAACCTTAAACGGTCCGGTAAACCGTGGACGAAGCGTCGTCCTGCAGACAGCAGAGGCTACAGGTGTGGGCAAATTTTTCAAATGTTATAAAATCAGGTCCCCGACCTTAAAGCTTTCCACTTTGCCTCTTCCTTTTTCATCTGCATATTGTTTCTGCTGGTCTTGGCTTTCAGACATCACATCGTGAACGTGTCGTAGGACACTCAGTCTAGTAGACAGGAATTCATCGACTTCCTCACGGATGGTGAGGAGGCTGACATCACTAGCCGTTCGGTTATTCCACCCATCAAGCCCTGAGCACTGGGATGGCCGCGTCAGCGGGATGCAAGGGTGAATCAGCCCGTTCATGTAGAACGGCGTGTAGCCGGTAGACGAATGCACTGCATTGTTCAGCGCAAACTCTTCGAGTGGCAACATGGCGCTCCAGAGCCGCGGCGTCTCAGCGCAGACGCTGCGAAGAACGTCTTCGATGACGCAATTCACCCTTTCGGTTTGACCATCGGTCTGTGGATGATCCGCTGTCGACATATCCAGCTTGGTGCCTAGCACCTTGAAGATAGTCGACCAAAATTTTCCCGTGAAATGGGAGTCTCTATCAGAGACAATCGACTCTGGGAGTTCGTGTTGTCGGAGAACACGATCCAGGAGCAGCGTTGCTGTACTGACCCAGTCGATGGTGGCTGGCACTGCCGCCAAAAGAGCCATCTTGCTCAACCGGTCGACGAATACCAGGACACCTGTGTTGCCCGCCGAATCTTTCGGCAGGCCAAACACAAAGTCCGAATCCATGTACCGCTAGCACCCAGTGAGTACAAGTAAGCCGGCCAGCGGCGCAGTCGCATTTGAAGAGGGTTTTACCCGTTAACACGACTCACACGTGCACACATAGGTGCTCGTCCATTTGTACAACTTGGGCCACCAATAGTGGTGACTCACGGAGTTGTACGTTTTTTCACGACCGAGATGACCACTGAGTGGCGTGTCGTGCGCTTTGTAGAGGATGCGGTATTTTAAATCCGCATCATGAGGAACCACAATTCGTGGTGCATCCGAAGATGTGGTGCTATAGTACAGCAACCAGTTATTTAACGAATATCGGTGCAATTGTGCACGCGGTATTTGTGACATTTTCTTGTCCGAGTCTCCAAACGCCTTGCTCTCGAAAGTCCGTAGCAGCGCTATACACATCTCATCACCCGCATACGCGGTGCGGATCAAATCCGTCACAGACGACGTTACAGTTGTAACATGAGAAAGCTCATAGTCTGGTCTGCGTGACAAAGCATCATCCAAATCATTCTGCGCTCCTGGCTTAAACCCACCTCGAAGTTATATTCCGCAAAGGAGGGTAGCCATCTAGCCATCCTCTACGAGAGGTGGGGCGACTGAGTCGCGGTGCGTAGTGACGCATGATCTGTATAGATCACAAACGGCATGGAGCCGAGCGGATGGACCCTGAAATGCATACTTCATTGCAAGTAGCTCCTTGTGATGAACTAGCTGTCGAGATTCGAACGCGATCACCCGATCTCGACCCTCGGCGTCTGCTTGCAGCAGTGCACAGTCGATGGCAAAGTCCGAAGCGTCATAGACGACGCTGAAATGACGATCTGGGTCTGGCAGCGCCTGTATCGGTGCATGAGGCGGCTGTCTTTGACTCTGTCAAAAGCCTCCTGATGTGT